ATTTGATTTGATTTGATCTAATAGGACTGTAGAGGATGAAAAGAGCAAATGGTCAGTGGCATTTTAGTGCACCCCTTTCTGTTATATAAAACTCAACACTGATTAATGGCTGGAGGACTTCATTCATTTTAGTGGAATGTGAGAAAGATGCTAATTTAAACTAGGTTATACTGTATGTACTCATGTAAAATGCAGTTCACATAGTTTATTCTCCCATGAGGAGGGGAAGAGAAGACATTTCCTTCAATACTTCCTGCTCTTTAAGTGATCTCAAGGCAAACAATGCAACTGTATAATGTATCATAAAGGATCAACATCATTTTAGAGTAACACTTGACTGTACAAGAATTTCCCATTTTAGAAATAATTCTCCAGCATCCACTGTTCTCATCTTTACATCCATCAGAGGAGATGGATGTGTCAGATATGAGGATGGAACCAGATGTTTCCTGACGCTTAGACATATTTTTTAATCTTTTGATGTCTTCTGTCAGGATTATTACTGATTTTTTAATTAATTTAATGCTGCAAATATAGCTGTAATCTAAAGATGCAAATCTGCATGTTTTTATAACTTATACTCTCATGTCTCCTAAGACAGGTCAAAAAGTCAAGGTAGTGCTGTGCCCTGGGTCAGGATGTCATTGACGTCAACTCAAAGCCTTTGAAAAATAATGATGTTCAGGCTTGTGTATTTGTCTGGGTTTTTTCTTTTATGATAGAGACATTTAACCTAGAAATGTCAAAATGAACAGAGGAGACTGCTTCTTGCTGTCAATTGGCAATCAAATGGAGAAGTGTTGCTGCTGATCCTTGTTGCTGTGTGTCTTGTTTGGCACTCAATGATGAGGAATCTTTCCGAGTACAGCACTGTGACATGTGGCAGGATCTACAGTCTCTGAGTCAACATACTAAGCACAGACGGCATCAAATTATAAGTAAATTGCATAAAGTATAGATAAGTGGAACAGCATATATCTCTATAAAAATCTCTTAAAAAAAGGCCGGTTTTTAATATGTCATGCTTTTTTTCTAACCAAGAAAACATCAATCACTGTTTCAACATGCACATCAACTAAAATGTGGTTTTTAATATGAATTAATAATTGTCCAAGATACTAGTACATGTGTGGTGATCCAAATGATTTATAGTACGTAAGAGTTCTTTGTATTTTGACAGAGAAAACAAAGGCAGTGAAAGAGACTGGAAAAAACAAAAGACACTTTTTGTGTGACAAAGAAGATTTGATTTTGATTTGAAAAAAAAATTTGGGCCAAAGCGGCGAGGGCAGCTTGTTGTCTGGACCAGCACATTACACATTCTGGTCAGAGGTAATGTCGAACAGTGTCAGTATGGGTCCACTTGAACAGATGGTCTTCCAGCTTGCCCTTGAATTGCCAGCTTTGCTGAGCCAACCAAGTGGAACTCCATGGCATATTAAACCACTCTCCTTTTGCCTTGTCTTTGCATAGACAGGGTTTGATTACTCAGGGGGTTAGAAGCCAAATTTTAAAAGTGTGAAAGTGTGAGTTTCTTAGCTGCCCTGATTTTGCCCTGATATGACTTATCCATATCCATACTTATTTGTGCATATAACTGTCTTAGCTGTATTTCATCATTCTTTATTGTAATGTTACTCAGTTGCATTGATTAACTACGTCTCCAACTCCTTCGAGTGTACTTTTGCTTCCCTTTTTAGATAAATATGCCCAGTCTGTTTATTCAGCTGCACTTAAAAACATCTAGCAGCTTCTTTCTGGCAGTCTAACTGCTGACTGATCTGTGTAATCTGTGCTTGCAGACTGATTTATAAAAGGCTCACAAAGGAACACTTCTTCACAGATGACAACCAAGCTATTTATCATCTGCTATTGATTTTCCTGTGCATTGTCACAAAACTCAGAATGAGCAGAATGAGAAAAAATTCAATGTGCTCACCATCTGTAGTGCTTTTACATTTCTATTTTGTGGAATACTTATGCATAGTATTAGAATTTCGTTTTTATCTGTTAGAACATTCATAGTTGCGTCATATTTACATGTTTAAATAAGTGACAATTGTGTTCAAATATGACTTATTACTTTATCAACAATTCAAACCATAATATAGATAGATAGATAGATAGATAGATAGATAGATAGATAGATAGATAGATAGATATTGAAATATTTTGTCAGTTAATTCCAAGAAAATAAGATGTTTTATTACTTTTTAGTCATTCAGTTCATTTTTTTTTTTGTTTTCTTTATGCATATTATCATTAATATGAAAGGTTGCAGCTGTGGTAGTTACAAAACAATACTGACTTTCCAGCATTACAGCAGGAAAGATGGTAAAACAATGGAACAAGCAGAAAAGGGCTACAGAAGCTCTTGAGCCTTTACACTGAGATTAAAAGGGGATTAAATGGAATAGTTTCCAGAACTAAGTACCACATGTGTAATGAGTTATGTAAAAAGTCCAAGCTAAGATAGGTGGTAGTGTCTTATCCAGCATGTAAACACATCCATGGGAAGTACGATGCAATCAGGTGGCTCAATTTTCTCTTTAATGTTAGGCAAGATGTTTCTCCTGAGTTTAGTATTACTGAAACTAAGATTTGGTAGAAGCAAGAGGACAGAAACAAGAAATCATTCAAGCAAGGAGAAAAAAATGTAATATACATGTTATACATGTAACTACTGTTGAGCCTATCGTCTTATAACTGTTGATACAAGGCTGCCTGTCGACTTTGTGGAGTAAACTTTCTTTCTGTTTCAGATGATGGCAAGTTGTCATTTGAAGAGTTTAATACTTACTTTGCTGATGGGATCCTGACTACTGAGGAGCTACAGGAGCTTTTCTATTCCATAGATGGCCAACAGAATAAGTGAGTTTTTGACCTAGTGTTATATTTAATAGATTCTCTCTCGTAAACTTTGTGCTTTTACCTTTTAAAGAGGGCAAAATAAAACCCTGCTTAAAGGCAGTGTTAATGTGTTCTTTTCAAGTCACCAGCCACAGATTAAATGTCTCACAGCTGGAGGGAGGTCCTCTGTAAACTCAACTCAAGCAGAATTGATGTTTACCCCCTCCTTTGGACATAAAATACTGTGGACTAAACCAGCTACTTCAAAACCTAGACTACTTCCCTGAAATTACTATCAAGGAAATCAGCCTCAGGGTAGCTGCTGAAATCACCGCACTGCAGTGAACGCTTAACTCTTTTAGCCACAGAGAAAAAGACCATGTCTCCCCTGTCATGTTGTATTTAATGTATCTAAGTCTGATCCTTACCTAAAGCCAGTGTGTTTTATTGCCTTTGGCAGATCAGGTATTTGTATTCATGAGGCATTTTGCAACTTTTCTTCTGTGCCAACACTGAGGCTTAACACGGTTTCAAAATCTCAGGTGATATAACAAATTAACCATGATTGGTAAATCACTGAAATGCATCAGTAGGCCCAGTCTCACACACAAAAACAGACGGGAATAGATGCATATGTGTTTTTTGGTTTTTTCTTCCTTTTTTGCATCTAACTAGTTTGGCTACAGTAACCACTCTGTATTTATTTTTGTTGTGGTGCCAGTTCTTCCATCACTGTGTGATAAATTGCTTTTGAACATGCTGCTAGGCTAGTATTGCCGCTGTGATGAGAAACAATAGCCTCGAGACCTCTCTAACCACCCTCCAAGCTTTGAGGCAGTTGGCATGAACTGTGCTCTGATGTCTAATTAAAGGTTTTTCTTATTCTCAATATAACAATACAGTTAATGGAGTGGTGATAGGAATACCTGTATATGCTTGATAATGCTTAAAGTTATACAGAAAATGCTGGAACTGAAAGCAAAGGGAAAAGAATGATCACATTAGCTATATCTTGATAGCCTAAAAGAGAGATATGTGGGAGCTTATTGTCACCATCCAAATGCAGATTTGTAACAGCGACTGCCAAAAAGATATTTGTTTTTGTTGTCTGCAGGAGCTGTGTGAGCATTATAATAATGCAGCTATTTACCAGCTTCACTTCCAGCTTGATTCAGTCTTTAAAATGTCATTAAAACAACAGGGGAATTTTTCACATAGTAATGGTCTTTATCAAAGAGAATAACTTCTCATTAAATGTAAACCCTTCTGCTACGAAAAGTAAACAAAGACGTATTTATTTCAATGTTTTTGCCACTGTGGGAGAAGTAAAACAGATAATGGTCTAAGCTTTTAAATAATGATAAAATGCAGAAGACATCATTTCTAAAGAGAATAAACATTTCAGGTTGTTTCATGTGGGATTTATATGGTTTTAATGGTTGTGTGTGTCTATCATATTAACTATATTCACACAAAGTCACACCAAACCCCTCAAGCAGAAATGAAGAGCTACATAACTTTGAATTTTCCTAATTAACTCTCAGTATTTTCCCTGCTTCTCTCTTATGTTCTGCTCCGCAGCAATCTGGACACTGACAAGCTATCAGGTTGGTTGGAGTGTGCTTACTCTGATTTCTGTATAACTCCTATCATAAAAGTTACTGACAAGTGCTTGTGTTACCCTATCCTTAGATTCTTTTTTTAATTATTATTAGTTTTCATGAGTAACTTCATAGCAACAGTTTAAAAACTCTGGGAAATTTGCATTATCCAATGAAAGCATTGTATAAAGTTAGAGGCAGCAGGTTTTGCTGTGTTTTCTGCGCACGCCAAACAAGCAACACAACTAAATTATATATATCAAAAGCATTTGTGATTTAGTTTGATTTGAATGTGTCGTCTGACATGTTTAGGTACTGCTGAGCAAAATCTGGTAAACAGTCATGTTTCCTTATTGGTAGACCTTCTTGTGTGGAAAGTCAACCAGGTGCTGGTATCCTAAAATTTACAGACATACAGTAAGAGTAATATCGATATTGTTATATAGTACATAGTAGTAGTGATATATATAGTAGTGATCTATTGGCCTATTTTTTAAATCACTTTAAAAATACATGTGTGTCAGATGACCTGAATAAAGTTAAGAACTAGGACAGAGACCGGTAAATACGACTTGTACCCAGAATAAAACTTCTGCATAATTTATTGAATGGGAATGGCATCTTTTGCATCTGACATCAACAGAAGTTGACTGTTTTTCCATAACAGAATGCTTCTTTTATCTCATATGTAGTTCAGTGAACATCTGTCAGCCACCGCTCTATGTTCTTTAGACCAAATTGTTTCTGATTAATGGTTTAAAATCCAGTAATGCAACATAAATGAATGTAACTGAGGGGAATGTAAAGGCTGCCACCAATCCATTCACCTTGGATCACATTGTTAACTGTGTGTCATATCACTCGTACTCTCAGCTAGTGTAAAATCAAGTTTTTAATTAAGAATCAAGAGCTAATTACTATTGAGCTTTTTCTTTGCTTTACTCTTGCTCTATCATATATAATTTGGTGAACCTTCCTCGCGCAGCCTTTTTATCGTGACACTTTAAATACGCCTCGGTATTTAAAGCTTTTGCAGTTACGTGAGCTCATTTGTGACATAAACATTAAAATGTGTAGGAGTTTTGTTATAGCAGCCGGTGCTGTCTGGTATGAAACGAATCTTCACGCTTGCTATCATTAACACTACAGGAGTGAACGAGATATCTTATAACACTGTCTTATTAAAATTAGTAAAGAAAAAAAAACTCAATTTCATGGAATGGGGAGCGCTAAGTGTTGCTGACGTATTGTGCATTCATTATATTCTCACTCCTGTAGTCGTCGTCGTCTCTTAATTGGAGTCTGTCATGGCAACATATTAGAGCTTGTCTCCAACTTTTAAACGTTAAAATTAATGTTTGATGACTATTCGTGTTCATATTCCGTGCTGTAATGACACTGACAGTTTTTTTGCTATTCCCTGTTAGACTATTTTTCTCAGCACCTTGGAGAGTATCTTAATGTCCTTTCAGCTCTGGAGAGCCTGAATATTGCCATCTTAAAGGCAATGGATAAAACTAAAGAGGTAAGAATTCACCAAAGCATGTGAAGCTATGTTATGAACCATTTAGTTTTATGTGAATCTGTCTTAATTTTGGCAGACCACATGGCCACCACTCGCTAGCTCTGAATTCAACAGATTATTGAAATGACTGCACTATTCTCACATTGGAAGTTGGGCTTCACACAGACTTTGTACTTAAGAGCTGGCAGGTTGGATGTAGTCTCAAATGTAATACATGCACCATGCAGGTAATAGCAAGAAAAACTCAGGGCTGAAAGCAATTAGTTTTTACCAATTCAGATGATTCACACTGACTTACATTACCTGTGGTCTCGTTATCCTTGGTCCCACTTTGGAAAATACCGCCAAACCCCGAAACACAAAAATGTTGAATGAGTCGGTGAACGGATATTTACCAAATTTTATGTAACAAGGTTAGGACACTTTGACGGGGTTTATTCTATCTCCTATTAAAACCTCAAACTGAGTCTTCACCTTATAATATACTGATTTGCATTAAGGGGACATTTCTTTACCTTAAAGGAGGTGGGCCTACATAACGTGAGTATCCAAACCAATCCCCACCAGTGTAAGTAATACAAGTAGACACAGACACGCTCACCAAGTTAGGTTTTTTTGTGCTATAAATCTCCTGTGTTTAGTTTTGTGCTGATTCTTGTCTATTAGAGGAAGCCCCCGTGTACACAGATGGAGCTACTGCTGCACTAAGTCTCCCAGAAGTGATGAATTAACAAAAGAGGGATAAAAAAAATATTTCAGGCAGGGATGGGCTGGGAAATAAATCAGATGGGGAGTTTGACCCAAGAATAGCTTAATACGTTCTGCACAAAACACAGCAGTGTTGTCTCAATATCCTAACTATAAATGAGTCACAGATATCCTATATAACACAATAATCTACCCGATACTTTGGACACAACTGTGATGCTGTTTCTGTTTATTAACTTTACACGTCAAAGCTACAGCGTGTACTGCGCCAGCATTAACATGTAACTAAAATCGTTGACTTGACTTCCCCTTGTTACTGCTTGCCCTTTTTTTACTCCAGGGAACTTCTTAACATTTCTGTTCCTGTCCAGCAGCACAGCACTTTTGGTCCTTTTTGCTGCAGCAATTACTGCTCCCACTGCTAAAGCTAAATCAAAATACTGATTAGTATTTAAGCCAGCAGTCTGCCCACCTATGTTCTGCGGGTCCCATGGGCCTTGATTGTGTTCAGTCCAAGCAGAAGAATCCATCCACATAATCAGTCTTATTTTTAACAATTATAGTATGCTTGATTTTAAGAAAGTAGCTTCCTTAAGTGGGATGCACATTCTCTTCTCGAGCATTAAATGAGGAGACTTATAAATTGTGTGAGTGGTTAATGAGAAACTGCTGCAGGAAGAAGATGTTTTGATGTACCTTCGTGCTTAGACTAGAGCAACAGGAAGAAGGTAGTCTGGTTGTGTGCGATGGTTTTTAGTTTTTTGGTTCTATTAGATTAATAAGAGATAGAGACAGAGATAGAGCAGGAAGGCAATTCTCCATGAAGAGGAAGAAGCACAAGCCATGACTTTACTTGAGAGATTTCGTTGTTTTTAATACTTGGTCTGACTGCAGAGATGTTCTGTGTTTATTAGGTAAAACAACCACACATGCCATAATCAGGATTAATGCACACACCAGTTTCTTGTAGTGTCACCAAGTGACACTACAAAATTATGCAAAAAGAAGCTTTGCAAAGTCCTGAGTAGCACCAATGAACTATCAGTGCAGTGCAATCCCATGACCTTAAGTCTTGTTCAGTCTACAATTTTCAGTCCTAACTGCTACAAATATTCTCTTGATACTCCTGATGTCCCACAGTGTGTGTGTCCCAAAAACCTCATGTAATAATATGTACCGGTTTTGCACAGCCTAGCATTTCTGTACCTGTTTATTATGTTGCTCAACTAGAGCTGACAAAATGTTTTAAAACTGCTTGAGGTAACAGCTATGAGTCAGGGATTTAAAGTTTAATAGGAGTTGTTAAATGAGAAGAAATGTGTTCTGAATAATTATGGAACCTGCCTTAATTAGATCACCTAACTCCTCTATTTGGCCTCTTCTTTAAAGCTGTTGAAGTGGGTAAACCCCTAGACGATTGTGCAGTCACTGGTTAGCAGCTGTGGTCTGTCAGTGCTTTGGACTGCTAATCCCATGATGCTTTTTCAGTAGAGGCTCGTCATCGCAAGTTTTGACAATGAGCTACGCAATGTTACTTCACTCGCACATTGCGTGACTATGTCTCCTTTGAGAATGCGTAATCACATTTGTGTTTGGGGACACGAGCAGCAATTATGTCTCCTATTAAAGTTCTTCCACCTTGGAATTTGAATACGCACTTCTGAATAATGTATGTGTTCTGAGAATTAATTAGCCCATTTAATTGCAGCTGTCACACATTTCACAAGTGCCTGCAGTTGTTTTGGAGAAGTTATCACATGATCGCTCTCTCTCTCCTTCTCTGTGTGGTGTGTCTTGTCTCAGAGCTGGTTTTCCTTTCTTTGCGCTTTGGTTTGAGCAGTTTGTCCTTTAACCCTTTGTTCTGTTTGTCGCTCTCTTTCTCAGGAGTACCAAGGTGCCAGCGTGTTGGGTCAGTTTGTCACCAGATTCATGCTAAGGGAGACATCCAGTCAGCTGCTTTCTTTACAGAGGTCCCTGCAGTGTGCCATGGAGGCTGTGGAAGAGCAGAGCAGCCCTGCCCCGTTAGTACACTATGTGATACAGTCTATTTTGTGTTATCCGTTATTTGTTACATTTTATTCAACACTGTTTCCATACTATTAAAGTCTTAGTCATAATTTAAGTAGAGAACTTATGAGCAACAGCATTTCTGATGACTGGTGCTGTAATGCTAAACTCAGGTATAAGGATTACCTTGGTTTTTTTTGTTTTCATAGATGCTGTTCTAATGAAAATGTAGAATTTTAACTCTTAGAACTTTAAAATTCTGCCGCAACACTGCACAGAAATGGAGTACAGTCATGCTTTTCTATGCTGCATATATTTTAAATGTAATTTTACTGTTGTAAATCTTTAATTTCAGTTAATTAAGGCTTCTGCTTCTACTTTTATACGTAGATTGGAACACGGTCGGTGGTTTAGGTATGACAGAGTTGTCAGAATTAGTCCTAAAATCGGGTCTTTTGTTGCCCATTGGATGGATTTGCAAAGTATGTAGAAACACAGTGCATACTTTCGAGAGTGACACTGTATTTTGTACCAAGTATGTTATTGCAGAGTGGATCACACTATGAGAATTGTTGTCTGAACTGTTAATTACATGTGAGCCAGAAGCCTGAAGCATCATCAGTTATAAAAGCGTATTACTTTTTTCCTCTCACACATAGAAGCTGCTTGAGCCGAGGGGACGTGCTGATGCTTCTCTTTGATTTTTCAGAGTTTAGAATTTGTTGAGCTTGCATCATTCTTATGACGTTCCTCGGCTGTTTTTTAAGAATGATTTTTACACTAAAGGAAAGGAGAACATTTAAAGGTTTTTTTTGTTTGTGTTTTTCTTAATGCAGTGGTTAAATAAGTTCAGCCCAACTGAGATGTGCAGCAGACAGTCCAAACTAAAATGAATAAAACACATCTAAGAACTCATTCCAGTCTATACAGTGTGGTAATGATGGATCTAACAGAGGAAATGCTGCATATATGTTCATACTGCTTAGTGAGGTGTGGTATAAGCCAGCGTGTTTGTTAGCTGAAGGAGAAAAATGACTCATGCTGGAGGGATGATTTCTCTGCTAGACTTTGCATTCTGTCGTAGCATGAAGCTCTGTGTAATTTAATATAATAATCCTATATTTTTATTTACAGTGCACCATAATAACTCTGAATGTTTTTCCCTCTGTAATCATTCAACAATGTTTTACTAATATCTCACTTTATAATCTCTCTTTTAAAAAATATTCAACCACAGCATTTCAAGACTACTACTGCTAATGCAAACTGCTTCAAGAAATACACACATGTAGGGATGGGTACCGGTATCGGTTCTGACATAAA